TTCAAAAGACTGGCTAGCATGTCTCCTCTCACACTCAGTCGGGGCCATGCAAAGATCGTACGCCTCGGGCTGGGTGTTACTTCGACTTAAGTTTGTAACAGCGCCCTATAATACCAGGGAGCAACAGGTTGAGCGCCGCGCACGCCATATCTTGTGCTGAGGACTTTGGGGAATTCACCGATGCTTTGTTAACCTGGGAAGAAGAAAACCTGAAAACCCTTCACCATGTCGAACTCCCGGAAGCTTTCCTCAAGCATGCATCCTACATCTTTCAATATGAACAAACGCTCTAAGCCCTAAACCCTCGATTCTCAAATGAACAAGCACCCCCTCCAAGCCTCGTGGGAGCAATAGCCCCGCCCGCGTCCTCTTGCGCCCAACACCTGGGCTCTTCAGGAGGACTCGTATTTGTGAATCGGCTGCTATTAACACTCGTTTGGCTGTCCAGTCATGAAACCACAGTGTGCTTTGCTCTTGTCCTCGCGCAGTCTCTCGGTTGCTTCCCCGCTACCTTCCGAACAAGACCCTGCAACTCGTGCTACACTAGAGATGTTTGGTAAACCTGGCGAAGTCGCTCAACAAACGTCTGTTGCCACCTGCGATGTCCTGCTCCAAGACACTAGGGTAATTAATTCTCTGGATTAGAGTCCACTTTTAGGTCCCCATTACAGTACGGACCCTCATGAAAAGGATGCTAAAAAGGGACCCTCATTTAGAGAACTAATTACCCACTTGTCCAAGAGCATTGCCCTGCTACTTTGCTTGCGCTGGCCTCGATGCATGGCACTATGCGCGACATCCTCCATGCTGCAACGATCTTTAGCCGTGCAACACAGCATGCCGCAAGCGTAGTCCCTGTCTAGCCTGACCGCAAAACTCCGTAGTTCGAAACACCGAAAAGCCAAAAGGTGCAACCTCATACCCCAAAAAAACCCTTTGAAGGACCCGTTCTGGTATGTATCACAAACAGAGACTCAAGCCATGTCTGCGCATAATCCTGAATCCAAAACGAGCAGCTGGTAGGCATCCTCTAAAGCGTCGCTTACCGCCGCAGAAAGACCCAACCACTCCTTGAAATGGCATTGAGGTGGTCCCATCAACTGCTGTGAAATCAGGCTTGTAGGCTTGTCGGGCTCAATGTAGGGGCCTTGATACTTGGAATAGGCTTTGGGAGGTTCCTGGTTACAACTACAGTGGAATATACCCCAAAGCCCTATTCTAAATATCAAGGCCCCTATATTACGCTTTCAGGTTTACACTGTGAAAGGCAGGTGAAACAGTCTTGCATGTCACGGGGGCATGCGTGCTACGCATGCTGAGCCCAGGAAGGAAAGAGACACGGCCGTGTATACACGACGCTCGCCTGGCACCCCCAAACCCGAAACCCTGTTATGAGCTTGGACCTGAGCTACATGTAACAGCGCTCGAATAGTACCTGTTGCCGTTCCAACTTGTTGGTTGACTCGTCAGACTTGATTACCGTACATGCATACACTGGCCAGGCCATCCATGGATAGACCATGATAGGATGCCGCCAGAATCCTAAACTCCCAACCCCAAACCCTAATCAACGGCAGACCCTAAAGACCACACCCAACACCCGTATGCAACATACCACCTGCCCGCACGTGCATCGTCAAACGCTCCAAAACATGGTTCACATATTTTGGTATACCTCCTTTGAACTATCGCACTGCCATGCAGAAACTGCCTTTGTCATAAGGAAAAAGAACGAAACTGTGCCATGCCATCACAAGTCTACTGCCATTCTTACCCTCGGGCCCCGCCTCAGTCGTAAGAGAAACACGTTTTAGTATAGCACAGTGTTCCTGTTGCCTGTTTGAGACTTTGTTGAAATCTCAGTTGTATTTCTACAACGAGACCAGCAGCTGACCGGCAATGAAAATGATACTGGTAACGGCTATAATGAGACAAATATGCAGACATGCACAGAGAGAGAGAGAGAGAGATAAATCTATTATATATCTATATACAGACATACATACATATATATATATATATATGTATATGTATCCAAATGTGTGTGTGTGTTGTGTGTACAAGCATACATGCATGCACATATTTGCGGTTGAGATGCTCCGCCCTCTTGGAAAATCCTCAGTCGCGGGCGAGGCACTGCAAAAAGGACAGGTAAAGTCGGGGTCCAAACAAACACATGGGTGGATGTCAAAATTATGGTCCCTTTTTGGGTCCTTATTATATTACGGCACCTATTATTTAGGGTACCCCAAAAGGGACCATAATTTTGACAACTCCCCACATCAACATAACTAGCTGAGGGGCCAATAAGGCTTCGGGCGTGTATGATAAGTATACGGAGTCTATTTCCGGAATGTGCTAGTGCTTCTTCAGTGAACATTGGCACCTTGCTTTTGGTGTGTATGGCTTGTTAACTCTAACTCTGAATCTCCGAGGTTTTGCACCAGGGGCTTTCTCAAGCACCTTGAAGCCAAAACCGTCAAGTCCTCAACCGCAACGCCTCGTAAACCCAACCCTAAGGGTCCATGTACCCAACTAGTATATACATTGGCCTTAATGTAGTCCCTATATAAGTATTTTATCAAGGCCAATGTATATACTATTTGGG